GTGCAAATTGGTGCAATCTTTTGATTGGTGCATTTAGCCCATTTACATTTAGGGTTAATATTGTTATGTATGAATTCGATACTGCCATTTTGATGCTAGCTGGCTGTTTTGCCCGTTAGTTGATGCAGATTCTTCATTTTGTTGATGCTTTTTAGCATTTGGTATGTTTTTAGAATGGCTGGTACTGGTTGTTCCTTTCTATGTATAGTGCCTCTTTCAGGAGCTCTTCTAAAGCAGGCCTGGTGGTGACAAAATCTCTGAGTACTTGCTTGTTTGCAAAGGATTTTATTTTTCCTTCACTTATGAAGCTCAGTTTGGCTGGATATGAAATTCTGGGTTGAAAGTTCTTTTCTTTAAGGATGTTGAATATTGGCCCCCACTCTCTTCTGGCTTGTAGAGTTTCTGCCGAGAGATCTGCTGTGAGTCTGATGGGCTTCCCTTTGTGGGTGACCCGACCTTTCTCTCTGGCTGCCCTTAGTATTTTCTCCTTCATTTCAACCCTGGTGAATCTGATGATTATGTGCCTTGGGGTTGCTCTTTTTGCAGAATATCTTTGTGGTGTTCTCTGTATTTCCTGGACTTGAACATTGGCCTGCCTTGCTAGGTTGTGGAACCTTCTGAAGTCTAATTCCGTCATTTCGTCACAGTCATTTTCCGTCCAGGTTTGTTCCCTTGCTGGTGAGGAGTTTTGGTCCTTTGTAGGAGGCGAGGTGTTCTGGTTTCCGGTATTTTCCTCCTTTTGGCGCTGGTTTCTTCCCATCTTTGTGGATTTATCCACCTGTCGTCTGAGTAGTTGCTGACTTTTCGATTGGGTCTTTGAGTGGACGCCCAGATTGTTGATTATGAAGTATTTCTGTTGCTTAGTTTTCCTTCTATCAGTCTAGCCCCTCCGCTGTACGACTGCTGAGGTCCACTCCAGGCCCTGCATATCTGGGGTACACCTGTAGCAGCTGCGGAACAGTTAGGGATGCTACCAGTTTCTTCTTCTGCTATCTTTGTCCCAGAATGATGCCCGCCAAATGTCAGTCTGATCAGTCCTTTTTGAGGTGACTCTTTGGATATACAGGGGTCAGGGAGCTGCTTGAGGAGACAGACTGTACTTTATAGGAGCTCAAGTGCTGAGCTGTGAGCTCCATTGTTCATTCAGGGCTGTTAGGCAGGTGCGTTTAGGTCTGCTGCAGTAGAACTTTTAAATCCCCTTTTTATTCCTCAGATGCTCTGTCTCGGGGAGTTAGGGCTTTTTTTATGAGTATCCGTTGCACTGTCCTGCCCAGCAAGGAGGCAGTCTAGTCACTATTTGCCTGCCAAGGCTTTGCCCTGCTACCGCAGGGTCCACCCTCTTACTGTTGGCTCTGCCCTGTTGCCGTGGGCTCTGCCCTGATGCCGTGGGCTCCGCCCTGCTGTCGTGGGCTGCACCCTGTTACTGTGGGCTCCGCCCTACTGACAGGCTCCACCCTGTTGCCCGTGGGCTCTGCCCTGCTGTGGTGGTCTCTGCCCTGTTGGCGGAGTCTCTCTGTTATGGTGGGTTGCCTCAGCAATGGCAGGCTGCCTCAGCAATGGGAGTGTACCTCAGTAGGCGCGGAATGTCTCGGTAGTGGCGGACGCCCCTTCCCCACTGAGCTGTGCCATCCTGGATTCAGCTGTGCCCACAGTGAAACTGTGAACTGCGAGCGTTTCAAATCGCTGTTTTGTTTGTCCCTGTGGGGGTGGGACCCGCTGAGCCTGATCACCTGGCTCCCTGCCTCAGAGCCCTTTTCTCTCTCTTTTTTTTTTTTTGAGATGGAGTTTCGCTCTTGTTACCCAGGCTGGAGTGCAATGGCGCAATCTCGGCTCACCGCAACCTCTGCCTCCTGGGTTCAGGCAATTCTCCTGCCTCAGCCTCCCGAGTAGCTGGGATTACAGGCACGCGCCACCATGCCCAGCTAATTTTTTGTATTTTTAGTAGAGACGGGGTTTCACCATGTGACCAGGATGGTCTCGATCTCTTGACCTTGTGATCCACCCGCCTCGGCCTCCCAAAGTGCTGGTATTACAGGTTTGAGCCACCGCGCCCGGCCTTCTCTTTTTTTTTTAAGTTGAACGGTTGACTCTCTCCCAGGTGTTTTAGTCGCCTGCTGAAAGGGCACCGGGATCTGTGTGATTTCCAATGCAGCAACCCACTGCACCAGCTCAAATGTTGCTTCCTGGGAATCTTCTGGTCTGACTCTCTGTCCAAGTCCCGTTTAATCAGTTGGATATGCTAATCTGCCCTCCCAAATCTCAGAGTGTCAGTTTAACAGGGCACCCAGACCAGCGCATTTTGTGTGGGGTGCCGCTGTGCTGTGGCACCATCCAAAACAGCCGTGCAAGCCAAGAGGGCTGCGCTGGCGTCCCGTGTCTCTCCTACACCTGGAATTTCCCCGTTCTGTGGGCAACAAAGATCCATCTGGAAATGCGGCTAGGACTCACCCTCTGTGCCTTCACTGAGAGCTGCAATCCTGAGTTGTTCCTACTGCGCCATCTTGGAAATTCCTTATCTTAGACTTTTTTAAGGCCCTTCAGAACACTCAGACACCCCTTTTCTGTTGTAAGTTAAGCACAAATAGAACTCTGTCCAAGTAAAAACTAATTCTCTTTGCTTTTTTCTTTGCTTTTTTCTAATGTTTACAGTCAGTGGCAGTATCAACAAAAGTTCTTACAATCCGAATGTCTCCAATGTGCTTTTTAATACCTTATTCTGACTGTGTAACTCTGTGTTAACTTGACATTTGCTTAACGAATAAGCCCTTCTTTCAGAGAGTTAGCATTCTTGTTGGTGTTAGACAGCTCTAAATGATATTTTTATCCTTGAGAAGCACTTTTTATCTAGCCACAAGCAGTTGGATCTATCTACAAATAGTAAAGTTATTTACTTTTAAGCTTTAATATATGTAATTTGCTATTTTATATTTACCTAAAACTCAGTTTAAAGAACAGAGTCGATGGTATATAATTCCTACTTAGTGAATTTAGAAATACCGTCTGGCTTACCGCCAGATTTAACCATGTGTGCAAACTGGAACTCGAAAAAATGAAAACGGCTGATTGCCCTTCAAGCATTTTCCTGGAGGCTGTCCTACAGTTTAGCAACCACTTTTGGCCTAACAACATCCTGAGCTCTGGGTCCAGGCTGTACCTCTCCTGAGCTCCAGGCTCCTGCATCCATGTTTTTATTGAACAAAGGCACTTAGAATTTATTGTGGCTCCTCAAACTCAATGTGGCTGAAATTGATCTTATCTTCCTTTACCCTCAACACTATTTTCCCTGCCATGATGGGTGTCACCCATTACCCGGTCACTACCTGGGAGTCACCTTTTGAGTATTGGTAGTTAGTCTGAAATTAAGGGCTTTGCTGTTGTAGTACCACTGCAGTCAGGCTCTCTGCCTTCAGTCTGGGTAGTGCAGTTTTATACACACTGATTTTAAGTTTCTCAGTGTGTCACATATCACACAGGATGATAGATGTTGCATATATTATAGTGTAGACCAATTTTCTGATTAAATAAAGAAAAAAGGAATTTGGCTGACTGAAAAATTTGTTACTTTAGCATCTGTACCTCTTTTTTGTAAATGCTTGGTTTGTGGATTGGTATATAAATTTATGTGTGTATCCTTATGTACTGAATAGTCCATCTGTCTAGGCTCTAGAGAAAATCTTTGGGCTAGAGTTAAGAAAGTTACTTAATTACAGTTAGAGGAACCATAACACTGCCTATAACCTGTAAGATCCCCGGGAGTCCCTTCCCTCCAGAAGTGACTTGTAATCCAGACTTTTAAGATAGAGGTTTTAGTTTCTGCTGTACCTTAAACTTTACATACAAGTGTAAATATAGTGTGTGTATTCTTTTGGGTTTTGCTCCTTTTGTTTATCATTTTGATTGTGAGATTATTTGCATGTGTCACTGTAGTTCTCTCATCGCCTTGTCCTTTTTCATTTTATGTTCTACAGTTTATTCGTTCCTCTGTTGATGGACATGTGGGTTCTTTCTAGTTTACGGTTGTACAGAGAATGCTGCTGTAAATATTTTTGTGTCTTGTATACGAATGCCTGAGTTTCTCAAGAGTGTATCCCTGGGGGAGGAATTACTGAGTTATGGGATATGGATACTTCAACTTTGCTAGATAATGCCTTGCTGTTATCAGAAGTGGCTTTCCATCAATAGTACATGAACATAGGGATTGGTGATTTTTCCTCTTTTTAGCTAATGCAGTCTGTAACTAGCCCCCATGCTTTTCGTAAGCATCTGTAGTTGGCTAACTGTAGACTGGGGAGTAGTCAGATTTCTTGGGTTTGAATCTTGACTTCTCTGTTCCTTGGCTAAGTAACTTCCCATCACTTCTCCAAACCATGATTTTTTCCAGTTTATCTTTGCTATTATTGGCTTGGGATGTTAGGGGATAGCTTCGAATTGGCATGGCCATTCCACTGGATAGACTGTCTACTTGGGGTTCATTCAGAGTTTGGTAAAGTGTACTTTTTATGTGTTACTTTGGTATGTGAAGTAGTAATTTACTACTGTTCCGGTGATCTGGTTACTAGGACCATATCACTTGTAACTTTGATAACTACTATTTGTACAGTGCTTTAGAGTCACAAATAATTTCTGTTTATTTTATGATTGGATCCCTGTAATTACTTTATGAGAGAAGTAGGCTGGTTTGGTTCCATTTACAGAGGAAGAAACTGAGGCCCGACAGTATTTGGTAACTTGCCATTGCCACCCTGCTAGGTATATTAGCTCCAGGGCTTGTACTCAGGGTGGCTCTCTGAAATCTAATTTATAGCATGGTTTAGATATCTGTGAGTCTGACTCTTTGTGTAGGAATCTTGAAAAGCAGACAAGTTTCTAACACTTTAGAAATAGAGTACATATATACTCCTGAGTGTATCATCTTTACTTTTTTCATGTTTATGCTGTGTAACAGCTATAACTGGGAAAATGCATTTTTTCTGTAATATTATATTTGTATTTGTTTTTAGGGAGTGCAGCCTGCCACAGGCGAGGTTGTGTTTGATAGTTTCCAGGACTCTGCTTCTCGTTCAGAGCTAGAAACCCGGATGTCAAGCCTACAGCCGGTAGAGCTGCTGCTTCCATTGGCCTTGTCCAAGCAAACAGAGATGCTCATCCACAGAGCCACATCTGTTAGGTAAGTTGGCACATCACTGGAAAATAATACCAATTCTGAAACTTAGGTTTAGTTCCAAAACCAATCCTAACTAACATTGCTGAAAATAGGTTTTACTTATAAACATTATATTTCCACTGTGGTAGTGGAAATTAAGAAAAAAAGTAAAACAACAGAACTGGGCATGGTGGCACATACCTGTAATCCCAGCCACTCGGGAGGCTGAGGAGGAAGGATTGCTTGAGCCCAGGAATTTGAGACCAGCCTGGGCAACTAACGTGAGATCCCATATCTAAAAAACAAACAAATAAAAGAAACACCACTACTCATACTATGACCTTAATGTAGGACTTCAGAAGGCAGTCTTTTTAAAGAGGTTTCTGATATTATTTAGTGATATTATTTGGTAATTACAGGGTTTATGATATTTAATGATATTATTGGTAATCTTCAGTTTCTGGAGATAATTTAGAGTTCACTTCTTACAAAGTTTATGTGACTTTGGAAATTCTTTGTGCTGTAGGTTTCAATTCATGGCTGTGTCTAGTGGTTTTATTTACTAGATCTAAGATTAGACCACTTATTTATGAAGCAGTGTGCTAGGCACTATGCATACAAAGGAAGAAGATGTGGTTATGATGTGTGTGTGGCAGAGTTTACAGCCCCACAGGAGAGGCAGATGTGTGCATGCCTAACTGGACTTCAAGGCATGATATATTAAGTGCTAAACAAGAAGGTGCCTTGTTGGAAAGATTCTGTACTGCCACCTGGAGGAGTGTGATGGGAAAGAGACCAGAAAAGTGTGCTGTGGCTTCAGCGAAATAGACTATATATATACTGGGGAATCTGGACTTTGGACTAGGAAGAGAAGTCCTTGAGGATTTTCATTTAGTAAGTGGACAAATCATTTAGAAAATCAAGGCCATGCACGGTTGCTCACACCTATAATCCTAGCACTTTGAGAGACCGAGGTGAATTGATCAACTGAGGTTAGGAGTTCAAGACCAGCCTGGCTAACATGGCACAATGCAGTTCTAAAAAAAAAAAGTACAAAAATTAGCTGGGCTTGGTGGCAGACACCTCTAATCCCAGCTACTTCAGAGGCTGAGCAGGATAATTGCTTAACCCAGGAGGCAGAGGTGGCAATGAGCCGAGATTGCACCACTTGACTCCAGCCTGGGCAAAAGAGCAAGACTCTGTCTCAAAAAAAAAAAAAAAAAAAAGAAAAAGAAAAGAAAACTGATTAAGTGAAGTTCCATATGTTTCTTTGTCCTAAGTGTTGTGTTCATTTTCATTTGATTTCTTTCAAAGTAGCTTTCATAATTTGTTTTTCTAATTATAAAACTAATATATGTTTATTTAGAAGAAATTAGGAGTTACAAAAAAAAAGATAAAAGTCATAAGTCAAATTCTATAACCCAGAGAAGTGACTGTTAAACATTCTGGCATATTATTTCCATGTGTGTATGTCACTTTTTTTTCCCATTTATGAGCTTGTATTTGTGCTGCAAAATCATTTTTGTATCTTGCTTTTTTTTTACTTTTAAGTTCCCCATTTTTAAGAACTTTATTGCAGAAAATTTTAGACATACACAGAATTATACAGAATAGTGTCATGAACGCCTATAATTCTGTCAGCCAGCTTCAGCATTTCTCAGAACCAATCTAATTTTTCTATATTCCCTCCTGTTTTTTCTCCCTAGAGTTCTGGCTTTGAAGCCAGTCCTAGTGAGCATCATTCTTTCCTCTAATATTTCAGTAGGTACTCTTAAAAATAAAATAAGTGCACAACATTGTTGTATAAGTGCATTGTAATTTGTCTATTCTATTTTTATTATATTCCTTTTTATCAGTATTTCAAATATTGTTATGATGAATATCCATATATAGAAATATTTGTGTGCATTTTCTGATTATTTCCTTAGGATAAATTTCTGCAAATGGAATTAACTGGATCAGAGGGTATGAATGTTTATAAAGCTCTTGATTGCTTGCTAAAAATGGTAATATCAATTTATACTTCCACCAGTATATAGTCTAGGAGGGTTCTTTGAACCTTTGCCCATATTAGGGTGATCATTTAATCTCTCACAGTCACATAGATGAAAAATTTTGCATCAAATCTCTTTATTTTGATTTTAATCCTTTTCTGACCATGTGTTCAAACTTGAATAATTAAAAGGCAAACAGTAAACTTATAAGGAGTGCTGCTTTTACAGAACTAAAAAAATTAATAAAATCTTAAAAAAAAGTTTTAAAGGTAGGTTTCTATATTGTATTTTCAGTATTTCCTGTCTTTGATTTAGTTTAGTTTTCTTCCTATTATATTAACTTGGTATGTGTTTTATTAATTTAGATTGAGTCTAAAGTCAATCAGTTTTATCAACACATTTATTTTTCTGTTTTCCACTTAATGTTATTAAATAACAAAGGCAAAATTCAATAAAATATCCAAATATTTCATAAAGACAGACATTGCCAAAAGTGAATTTTTGTTTGGCAAGCAGCATTCATTGCCTGCTGATAGTCCTAAATGTTTTTTTATCACATGAGATAAAAGCTTGAATTTGGCATGTCAAAGATAATTTGGGTGTTTTATGTGGGTTTTTACCAAATTTAATGCCTGCTTTTGTCTTGTTTTAATTTGAATTTCTCTAGTTAGCATTGTGAAGAATTTTTCCTATGTTTACTGACCATGTGTAGTTTTTTGTTCTTTAAACTTTTTTTGTTTTGTATCTTTGATCATTTTCACTTTATTTGCACTAAGCAAAGTCAAAAGTTAAATCTGCATTTCTGTGGAGTTCCTACAGCTAATTTATATCTGTGGATAGAATGGAGTAGATGAAATTCAAAAGTTAGCGGGTCAAACAGTGTAGACTCTTGTGACTTAGGATTTCTGTTGGAAAACTAGCTCTTCCCCTTAGTGACTTTGAGTAGATTATCTACTGTGTTGTCTTTCAGTGTCCTTTTCTTTATAATGGGAGTATTAAGAGTGCTTACCTCATAGGGTTGTTGTAGGGATTAAATAAGTGAATATAGTCAAGCACCTGAAATAGTACCTGCTGTAGAAGGCTCTTTATAAGCGGAAGTTATTCTTTTAATATTTTAATTAAAAACTTTTTTCTGTGGCTGGGAGTGGCAGCTCATGCCTGTAATCCCAGCACTTTGGGAGGCTGAGGCAGGTGGATCACGAGGTCAGGAGTTTAAGACCAGCCTGACCAACATGGTGAAACACTGTCTCTACTAAAAATACAAAAATTAGCCAGGCATGGTTAAATTTTTTTTTTGTAGGTACGTGGTAGATGTATATATTTATGGGTTACCTAAGATATTTTCATAGAGGCATGCAATGCACAATAGTCACATCAGGGTAAATGGGGTATCTACCTTCACAAGCATTTATCCTTTATGTTATAGGTAATCCAGTTATACTCTTTTAGTTATTTAAAAATGTACAATTAAATGATTTTAGACTGTAGTCACCCTGTTGCACTATCAAATACTAAGTCTTATTCTATTTTTTTTTTTTTTTGTACCCATTAACCATCCCTAGTTCCCTTCTCAGCCTCTGGTAACCATCTTTCTACTCTCTGTGTCTATGAGTTCAATTGTTTTAATTTTTAGCTCCCACAAGTAGGTGAGAACATGCAAAGCTTATCTTTCTGTGCCTGGCTTATTTCATGTAACGTAATGACCTCCATTTCTATTCATGTTATTGCAAATGACAGGATCTCATTCCTTTTTATGGCAGAATGCTACTCCATTGTATATATGTAGCACATTTTCTTTACCCATTTGTCTGCTGACAGTCACCTGGTTGCTCCCAAATCTTGGCTGTTGTGAATATGCTGCAGTAAACATGGGAGTACACATATCTTTTCCATATACTGATTTCCCTTCTTTTGAGTATATACCTAGCAGTGGGATTGCTTGGATCATATGGTAGTTTTATTTTTAGTGTTTTACTCATTTTTTTCACACTGCTCTCCATAGTGGTTGTACTAATTTACATTCTCATCAACAATGTTTGAGGGTTCCCGTTTCTCTGCATCCTCACTAGCATGTATTATTTATTGCCTGCCTTTTGGATAAAAGCCATTTTAACTGAAGTGAGATGGTATCTCATTATAGTTTTGATTTTTCATTTCTGTGATGATCGGTGGTGTTGAGAGCTTTTCATATACTAGGTTGCTATTTGTATGTCTTCTTTTTAGAAATGTCTATTCAATTTCTCTATTTTTAAATTGGATAATTAGACTTTTTTCTACAGAGTTATTTGAGCTCCTTATATATTGTGGTTACGAATCCCTTGTCAGATGGGCAGTCAGCATATATTTTCTTCCATTCCATGGGTTGTCTCATTTTGTTGATTGTTTCTTTTGCTGTGCAGAAGCTTTTTAACTTGATGTGATCCCATTTGTCCATCTTTGCTTTAGTTGCCTTATTACTCAAGAAATCTGCCCAGTTCAGTGTTCTGGAGAGTTTCCCCAATTTTTTCTTTTAGCCATTTCATAGTGTGATGTTTTAGATTTAAATATTTAATCCATTTTTGATTTGATTTTTGTATATGGCAAGAGATAGGGGACTAGTTTCATTGTTCTGCATATGAATGTCCAGTTTTCTCAGCACTATTTATTGAAAGATTATCCTTTCCTCAATGTGTGTTCTTGGCACCATTGTCAAAAATGAGTTCGCTGCAGATGTATGGATTTATCTCTGGGTTCTCTATCCTGTTCCACTGGTTCATATGTTTTGGTGTGTGTTTTCATTGTGTCTGTTTTTATGCCAGTACCATGCCTGTTGTTAGGTAATGTGATTCCTCCAATTTTTTTTTTTTTTTTTTGCTTAGGATACATTTGGTTATTCTGGGTCTTTCATTGTTCATATACATTTTAGACTTATTTTTTCTATTTGTTTGAAAAATGTCACGATATTTTTATAGGGATTGCATTGAATCTGTAGACTGCTTTGGTTAGTATGGATGTTTTAACAATATTTATTCTTCCAATTCATGAACATGG